ATCCTGGCACAATAAAAAAGGTAGTTTATTTAGCGCAGCGACGATTCGATTTACTGTCAAATTGTGTATTTTCTACTTGAATTCGATGTGCAATGTTGCCAACCCTCTGAAATATTACTAGAAAAAATTGGCACATGGTCGGGACCATGATGCAATAATAAGGTGATGTATTAAAGCAAAAACCTGTTTTTGTTTTAATATCTTCAATTTTTTTCACAATAATATTTCAGGTAGTCCATTTAGCTGCACATTCTGATTCAAGTAGAAATTATCACTTTGACAAAGTGAGTAATTTCTACTTGTATTCGATGTGCAATGTTGCCAACCATGTGAAATATTATATGAAAAAACAAAGGTTTTTGTTTTGATACATCACCTTATTATTACATCAGAGTCGGGACAAAAACAAATGTTTTGGATCGAATTTTACGAATGAAAGTTGATGAAACTGGATTATATCTAATACACAAAAAATGTTGTGCCTTATCGCTGTACTCTAAATTGCCAATATGACATTATTGACGACCAGTCAACTGAAACGTCTACAACGCAATAGATTGCAATCGCGTCTATGCATGATTAGACAAATTTGCTAAACTTTTGGAGATGAGCCAATTTATGGAAAACAGCATTGAACAATATTTTTTTAAGTACAAAATGAGATAACCGATTTCCAGAATATAATTCTCAATCGATACCTTGGAGGTGTGTTAATTTGTGGAAAATTGCATAGTGGAAGTTATTGGGATACAGTGAGGTACTCCCTAAAGTTGCGAGAAGCCGGACTCCCATTTAATAAGGACCGATTGCATAATTTATCATCACAGATTTTTTTAGATCATTTCATTCATATATGTTTATTTGTAGTCAAATATTTAAGATATTAATTATAGGAAATTTTGTTTAGAACATTTTTTGACGAAGAATGTTCCAAATATCTGTGGGATTTTATTCACAGAAAAAATAACTTCTTACAAATATTCACAATTGAGCTCTCTAGCATGTGGGAGATGTTATCTCTCAGAATTCAGAAACCAAAGGCTTCAAATAATAATAATAATGTATTCATATTACAGTCCCCACAAAAAAATAAAAAAAATATATAAGATCTTTTCTGGAGCACTGATGAGATATTGACGAACCTTCAAAAATCAACAAAAAATTTTACGATTCACAGTTTTTATGCATACACTTTTTTATGTTTATCACACTTCCGTTTTGTTTTCGAGAAAACGCCCCTCGAAACGCAATAAACAAATGGGCCTCCTAACACAGTTCGATATATAAATACCTATACAGATGAATGTTGTTGTAATTCTATAAAAAAAACGAACACAATGAAAAAAATTTTGTTCAAGGTCATACCATTTAACAATGAATTCAAGGTTTATAGCAACGTTATGCGATTCAGGTAATTTCAAAAGTTTTTTTAATGTACAATTTTATTAACAAGAAAATGCATTTGTGTTTTTCTTTTTCAATTTCCATTTTGTTTCGAGATCTGCTTTTTTATTGACGAATCTCTTTGAAATAAATAAACATTGTTTTCCTTTTTCTTGCTTCAAACGTTAACTACGAGTACTTGAATACAGCATTATATTTGTGATATCTTTAAAGCAACAATCATTTGAAAACAAAAATAAGATGGTCATAAAATTGCAACAACATTTTTATTTTCTTTATATAAACGTTATATAAGCACTAGATGTTTTTTTGTGGTTCGCTTTGCTCCATTGATACAACAAAACATTTTTCCGATTTTTCTTATGTATACCTAACAAATATCAGTTGCCTATAAGGACACACCGAAATATAGGCATCCCGATATTTTGGTCGACTAACATTAAAGTGCACATAATAAGCGGTGTGTATAAAGACTGCAGCTATTTCATGTGTATATTGGCTGTTGTAAACATCGTTTATATTAAAGTGCTAGAAATTGTAATTTGAATGTTAAATTTCATTGCGAACAAAAAGTTATGATTCAGAAAAGGATTATTGTGATTTAAAATGTATGACGTGATTTAACATTATTTTATTCTGTGTATATTTTTAGAAAAATTTAAAAAACATCAAATGATGAGTAAGTGACAGACTGATTGATTCATCAACGCCCACACAAATGGAATAAAGACACTGACATTTATTTTCCCCTATATTTACTATTGCTTTGAATGGAGAACTGTTTTTGATGGGGAATTTTTACTTTTTCCCATTGATTTTATTACAAATTAAAAAAAATCCGTATGAAAATCTACACACACACAAGAGTTGCAGATTTAGTAAATGAGTTTTTTCACTCCTATAAAGGTATATCAGAACCACTTGTTTGATCCCATAACTACTCAAAAATGTCCCTTTACCCTTTCAAATGATAAATTTAAAAAAGTTTATGCTATTTTCAATTTATGACCAAATATAGTTTTTGTGGGAAATTATTTTATATTCGCTTTCTATTTATAGAGAACGAAAAGTGTACTCTTTTTCTAATGTCGTTGATATATTTGGTTTCTCCTCTTCCAATGAGCAGAACCTTTCTAATATAAGCACCTAAAAATTAGCCTTTAAATACTCCTCTTTAAGATCCTTTATAAGCTCATGTAAAGGGCCTCCATAGGTTCCTTTGAAGTTTATTTAGGGGTCTTAAGAAACTCATATACAGTCTCTCCTACAAAGGAGGCTATATAACCCTATATAACCTTCTATGAAGACGGCTGTAATAAATCATCTATATCCCCATGTGAAACCTTTTCTAACTCCTATGAAATTGGACGATGGCTTAACAGACTGCAACAACGGATACTTTAAAAGCTCCTAAAAGTCTCATTTAATGCCTACAAATAAAAATTACGTTAATATCCGCCGGACCGAACTTTTTCTTCAAAATTCTCGGGAATTTTAAACAGTGCTGCATACTGTCAGCCAGTAGGTGATCAAAGAAAATTAAATACCAAATCATAGACCCTCGGGTTGAAAAAGTGGTCTAGGAATTTAAATATACCGAAAATTAAAGGAGACCTTTGTATGGGAGCTATTTCAATGCATGAATCCGTTTTATCCACTGGGGATCCGAATTGACAAATTACAGCCACTTCGTTGAAGAAATGTTAGTCGAATTTCTTCAACGAAGTGGTAGTTAAAACATGGATCTATATTGACAAATTTTGTGTGATTACGTTGTTTATTCAATCCAATGTCCATACTTTGACCTATAAAGAATAAATTCTGTAATGATTTGTTTACCCTCCAAGAACCCGGAACAACAAATTACGCTCGATTCTGTGTGAAAATGAGTCTGAAATACTTATAATGGGGCGGAATCTTTATATGGGAGCCATTTCCTAATCTACCTATTTTTAGAAATTTTCTGCTAATAAGTTCTTTATCCAGTCTGGAACCCAGTCCAAATGCCTAAAATGGCGGCACCACTAAATGGGAGCTTTGTCAAAACATGGTGCTATACCTAAAATAGTCTGCGAACATGCTTTTAACCTTACAAGAACCCGGAATGCCAGACTATAGGCATTCCGGGTTAGTAAAATATGCGTAAAACTCTCAAAAAATCTATAACAGGCGGGACCCTGATATGTGGGATTTGTCAATACTTGGCCCTATGATTTGAAAAAGGTTTTTCATTCTCATAGAACCCCAAAATGGCAAATTATAGTCACTTCGATGGAAATACGCCGCTACACAATTCAAAATATCGAAAATGTCGGAAAGGCGGAACTTTCATATGGGAGCTATGTGGAATGATTAACCTATAGAAGTTTTTCTATAATGACTATGTGGCAATAAAGTATCTGTATAAGGATCCAGCCCATCGATTTATGATGGATTTACCCTCTAAGAACTCGGAATGCCCAATTACAGTCACTTCGTGAGGACACTTGAACACTCACAATTCCTAAATGGTCCCTGTTTTGTTATAACATTGACTTATATTGAAAAATGTCTGCAAAGATGTTTTTCAACCGCAATGCCAATTTAAAGCTACTTCTTTAAAAATATGCGGCAAAAATATGCCAAAATATGCACATGCATCTAAAATTGTCTGCAAAGATGTTTTTCTCACTTCATGAACCTCTGTGGGTAATACGGAAAATAGTACAGATTTTCTATATATGGGGCTTTGTCTAAACATGGACCTATATCGAACATTTGGACCTATATGGCGGATATTTTATGTAAAGAGGATAAGTCGAAATGCCAGTTTACATCCACTTCGTTAGAAAATGTCGCTTGGTCCTTCAAAATATTAAGAATTCTGCCATTTTGATTAGAGAATGTCCAAAAGTAGAACCACGTTAAACAATTTATTTAACGTAACAAATAGTAGTCACTTAGGATTGGATTCAGAACTCTTTCCCATAATTTGTGGTCTTATTTGCTAGATTCAGATTCTATATCTCATGGTACACCGATTCGGTAGCTTCCAAAAATATTTTTACTTCTATACATAACTATTAATATATTTCGTTCTGCAAATCGGACAGGATACTGGTCCTATGATGCACCCACCGATTTTGTTTTTTATTCCTACTTTCTTAGTTGGTTTTATTAGTAGCATATATTTTAATATACTAAATATCAACGTAAACAAAATCAAATGCTACCCTCTAATATGTTGAAATTTCAAAGCATACTTTTAGGCGTTAACAAAATAGGACGGGGAATTCTCTATGAAAGATGGATTATTATCAATGATCCTATCATTATTTTAACGAAAAAATTTAAATTGGCCAATTTTTGTAGATAAATACAATTACTAAAATGTTTTTTTTTTATTAAAAATCTCAACAACTAAAGGAACAACAACAAATTAGCAATTTTAAACAAATTTAAAGCATTATGTATCTACTATTTCAGTTAATAAAGCCAAGCGCAAAATTTTAGCAACAGGTGATAAATAGCAATTGAATGGATGATATTTGGTGGTGGTGGATAGTAGTAGTGCTTGTGGTGGTATTGTTGTTGTTGGTAAGCATTTAGAAACTCACTTGATTCACAATGGTTGCCTGTTCCTCAGCCACATCCTGTTGATGATCCCGTGTTGGCATTGGTGTAAAAGTGCTAGACGGTGGTACATAACCACCGGATGGATTCAATTTGGGGAATACTGTTTGTGGCAGCGTATTGATGGGTTCCGACAAAGCATGTTCATATTGTCCGGGGCCGGGTAGAAAAGGTGAGGGGGCTCTATGGGAATTTAAATAAAACAAATTTTAATTTACTTTTCGCATTTTTTCCTATTAGAAATGGAAAACACAATACCTATGGGGTTGATTTGGATCTGGACTGGTAGAAAGTAATGAGGAATTTGGTCTCGAATTATCAGCACTTAAACCCTGAGTGTAAGCAATTTTACTGTCCCTATGGGTAGGAATACATACATTAGCATGTTGATTAAAATTTTTTGTGAGACATTCTTACCTGTGCACAACCAAACTTATTTCATTACCAGCTGTACGGAATAACATCTGAGCATCGGCATGGCTAACATCTCTGGCGTCATATTCTCCAATTTTAGCAATTATATCGCCACGTAGCACTTCACCGAAAGCGGGGCTGCCAACCTGAACCTAGAAGTGTATACAGAGGTGAAAAAAAACATTATTATTTTTGTAAGTGAAAACATAATCGTCATATATCACAAATATTTTTTTTGTGGTTTTGTCAAACATTTTTAATGCAGCTGTTTTGTTTCGTATTTATTATACTGTTTAGAAGGTTACGCATAGATTGACGCATTCATGTGTAGTTTATCTTCAATTCATTCGATATTCGCATTAACCTTGTATTAATTTGGTCAATCAGTTTTATTTTTGTAACAATATTGCGTGTGTGCAGTGAAAGTGTTAAAAAGATATATGTTTTTATAAAATTGTCACTTGATTAGAAATAACGAGAGGAAGGGGGCATATATTTGTATTTAAGACAACTACACAAATAAAGTTTACAATGAATCCAAATTTTAAACAAATATGGTAAATTTTTATTAATTGTCATCGAGATGAGAAGAGAAATTTCGATTACAGACAATTCTAGCAATTTCTGAAAAAGATCAAATATATGTTCGGCGATTTATATCGTAATTTTAATAAAATTGTAAATAGAGTTATAAGATTTATTTGGATTTGTACTGCATGATCAGTTACGAAGAATTTTTATTGATTTATAGTCTTGATTATTTTTGAACAAAATCCGTTTCAGAGAATTTGGTGTCGATTTCAAAATGAAGAGAGTAACCGATTTGATCCAAATTCTTCATATCGTAATAAATAGTCCAAATAATATTCGAAATTCGGCATAACCTCTCTGTTCAAAATTGTGAAGAATGGGGTTCCCGATTTGCTCTAAACTTTACAAATTAGGTACACTTCCCACAAAGGAACATATTTTAAAAATTTTTAAAGTATATAGATCCACACTTTGTATATGGGCAAAAGATGGCACCCATTTAAAATATGTAGCCATGTTTGTTTGTCGAAATATTTAAGTTGTAGCTTTGAAACTGTCCCGCCAAACTTTCGAAATGTTTGTGGATTTAGCCGAATTTTTCAAACGAAATGGATGTATTTTGGCATTCCAGCTTTCTGGAGGAGCTGTTTTAACATAGCTTCCCCCTTAATTTTCAGTATAATAGATCATTTTTGTTCCCATCAAAACGGATCTAATTTCGAATTCCGGGGTTTTGGAGGCTGATATATAGCAAAAAAGGCAACATAGGTCACAATATAAAGTATAAGCATGTATGACATACATCTATGTAGAAATGTATAAATATAAATATAAAATGAGTTTTAACATAGCCCCCATATATAAAACTTCCGCTTAATTTTCAGTATAATTATATACATCCTTATTGTTCGGATCAAAACGGATGTAATTTCGAGCTCCGGGTTTTTGTAGACTGATATATTGCGAAAATGTAACATAGGTCACAATATAAAGTTTAAGCCCAGCTACATGTTTTGATGTTTTAATTTTAATAGGAGTGAAACAAATTTGCAGAAAATGTTCAATGTAAGACCCATTTTCATTTTGACAGGTGCGTGTTGCAATTTTCCATTGTCATTGGGGGTTGTTGAAGGATGAAAACATCTTTGCAGGAGCAGATCAGGGTTTTGTCCCGCCATATTTTCGACATTTTAATGATTTTAGTCGAATTCTTTTAAAGAAATCATTGACATCACATGTTCCTTGTGATTAAAATAATTTTTTCCAAAAATTTTCAACAAACTTGTTCATGGTTTTAACATTTAATAGTCCCCATACGTTCAGTATGTATACCTGTTTATACCCTACACAACTATGTTGTCAGGATGTTATAGCTTTGTGCAGCCCCAAGAGTTTGTAACGCCGCGAAATATTGGTCCTAGAACCACCTTTAAGCATACCGATCTTCATATCTCGACTAGCAGAGTCAATCTAGACAAGTGTGTCAGTCCGTCCGTCTGTCCATTATAATTTGTACATACGAAAAATTATGAACCAATCTTCACGACCTTTTGCATGTAGGATGGGCTCTGACTAATCAAGACCCCTTTTTGGAAAAGATCGGTTAATAGTTAGGGGATAAAATGGACCAAATACTTATTTTTTTCGTTATTTCTGATTATGGTTCTATCATCGCGAAATTTTACATAGAGAAAAGAACAAGCGTGCTTGTTTTGATAAAGATCGGTCAATATTTAGTGTCAAACAACATTTGTATTCTATTGCGTATATATTTACCCCTGAAGGATATAGACGATAATCAAAATCCACTTCAAGTCTCAGAACAAACTATATATTTATATTCAATAGTTTTTAAGAAATTTATTTTATTATTTGATATTATATACCTAATACCATAGACAGACGACAGACTTAATTTGCATTAAAAAGTTCTTAATTTGAATTAAAATTTACCCCTGACAGACGAGAGTTTCTGCATTTATGAACCAGTTTTTTGTTTCAAAACTATTGTTTGTCTGTGTGTAGGAAGAAAATATTGACATTTCTTTACAATTTTTTTTAGGATTACATCTTTTTGAAATTGATACATGGCAGGAAGGAAAACTAACAGCTATAATGAAGATAAAACAGCTCCAAATTTGAAGAAATGTTGAATTTTGCCTTTATTTTTAATTTTTATTTTCGTAAACGTAAACAAATTTGACAACAATCAATTTATTTTCTACAGCATTGCCATATTGAAATAGCTTAATTCAGTATAAATTCAGTTTGATTTTGTGCATTAACAACACATAAAAATGAGGATAATGTACAAGTTAATTTGAATTAAGGCTGTTAATGCAAATTAAGGCTGTCGTCTGTCTAGGCTATAAAATTAAGTGTCATGTTACTTTAATGCACTTTGTCGAAAAAAATACTGGGAAATGTCTTTTGAAAAAAATACAAGAACATTTTGAATTTTTGGTTCAAAATGTATGGCTATATATTCGGTATATACATTATACAGATTTCTCTTGTTCAGTGACATATACTAAAAATTGATGGAGAATATTTTTGTCCCTTGTACCATTCTTCTAAAACGTCATCATGTGGGAAAAATGGGTAAAAACTAGTAATAAGTACGATATTAACCCTAAAATGAGTTTTTGTTTTTTAAGATTTTTGACGTTTAAGCTGATTTTTGAGTTTTAGTCTATTCTGAGACTTATAGTAAAACGTGATGGCGAATATTTCTGTAGAATATTCTGAGCAGCTTTAAAACCGTTTTGAATGTGTTTTCAATCACTTATGGAAAAGGGGACCGAAAAGACCCCTTCAATGAGTCGGATGAGGGTTAAAGTTGTATACCAAAATATTCCTCGATATTTTATCAGTAATATTGCCGAAGACACTATATACCTAAAATGCAAGGATTTCAGGAAATCATTATTCGAAAATTATCGAAATTCTTGAAAAGGGGGAATATTGCCCCACTTTTTAGGTTACCTCCCGACGTAAACTTTAAAAACGCCGATACACGTGTCTTCTTTTTTTAGCCCCTCTTTCATAATCTGTTGGAATTTCCCGGTAATTATTTTTTGTGTTGCACAGTGTTATATTGTCATATGTACTCGGATGTGGAAGTTGCAATTAAATATTTACAGATGCTTACGTATTCAGATATTATTTAGTGACCCGTTACCACACTAGAGGGCGGAAATATAGCGCTGATCGCTTTGGAATTTTTCATGAGGATCCAGGTATGGTCAAGGACAACGCCTGTAATTTTCGGTGATGATCAGATAATAATATTGGGATGAAGTGGACCGAAAACTTATTTGTTGTGTTTTTTCGATATATAGGCCACAATTGAAAGCCGAACATCACACATCCCACGGCGAAGGGAATCTGGACAAGTAATTAGAAGGGCTGTACTGAATATTAGTAATATTTGTCGATCTCTTGTCGGTCAAAAGGGTGCAAATATCGCGAAATATTGTCCATGCTCAGAATATAGAATCAAAGAAAGTTTTCGTGGAAAGTTAGATTTTCGTGTTCGCCCCCTTCCGACTATACTGCTCCGCTCACTGTTTTTTTTTATTAATTTTATCGTTATAAATCTACTAAAGGTCCCGACTGTGGAGTTTATAAAAAGTTCGGACCAACCTAAGGGGATACCCCCATTCTTAGTTAATTTGATTCCAACCTAAACTAATTGAAGAATGTCCCTATAACTTTTCAAGTGAAAATCTCAACAACTTTCGAATATATAGCCTATTCATTCTGTCAGCATCAAACGACGTCTTAAGGGACCCCCCCCATTCTCGATATTAATTTTTCAAGATTTTCAATGGGCTGGTAAATCAAAACCAATGCTTGTTAAGGTTTGTAACTTTACACATATATATTTGAAGATTTAAAAATTAAGAAAAATAATTTACAAAAAATTTTTGTTATTGTTTTGTTGTTGTTTTTTGTAATTAAAAAAAGTCCTTATTTTTGATGGCGGGCATGATAACTCCTCACTGGAACATCGGAATCCGAAAATTCCAACGGTGTTAGAAAGAGTACACATCTGGCTCTCGTATGAACTAGGATTATTGACTTCGCTCTAAAATTAACAAAATGGTGGACCTTTGAAAAAATATTTTTGAAAAATCGCCGATTTTTGACCAAATCCCAAGTTAAAAAATAAGGAAGATCTTCACCGATTGGCTTTATCCTAGTTCATACGATAGCTATACACTCACAGAGAAACGTGTAAAAATTTGAAGTCGATTGGGTTATTTGTTTTTGAGTTATCGTGCCCGCCATTCGCAAAAAAATGTTTAGAGAAAAACTCGTTTAAATTTTGAGAAACCCTTCAGCCGTCACACAATAAATCGGCTATATCTTTAAGAGTTGTTGAGATTTTTATTTGAAATTTTGTAGGGACATTCTTTAATTAGTGTAGATTCCAATTATATCAACAACATTTTTGACCCCGAGAATGGGGGGTCCCCTTAAGTGATTCTCGAACTTTAAACGCGTTTTTACTCGAAACTGTGTTTTTACGAATGGCAATCCAATCCTATCGTTTCCAAATTTTGACACGTTTCTTAAGCAATTCTTTATTTGCCATTGTAAAAATTTCCATATTTTT